CTGTTAAGCGAATAATTTAACAGAAGAGATTTGGAAAATACCTTAACATTATTTAAACTAATGTGAAGTTAGTGCACTGTAATCAAAGACATATATTAACATGACTTAAAATTCTTTTAACATTCGATTTAAATTATTTCAAACGTAATGTTAATGCATATGTGAGCATAAGTGTGCACAACACAACCGCAACATTGATTTAACATTACTTAAAGATGTTTATAAACAAGTACATACATATGTATGTAAAAGTAAGTGATTTCTAAATGAAGTTTGCTGTGGAATAAATTGAAATAATACCAAAAGAGGAAGAGAGAGAGAGACGGTGAAGCTTTACAGAATCTCCACTTAACAATAATCAAGACCAGTAAGAAGTTATTATTCTTTGGCAAACGCTATTATGTGGCGATTGTTAATGCTGGTAGCGTAGAATAATTTTAACATTACACTAACATTAATCTAATTTGAGTTCAACATTATTTTACATCAGCCATAAATGTGTACATAGCAATTAGTTACTGTAACATGAACATAACATTCATGTAACATGTTTTTAGTATAATTATAAACAAGTGCCAGAGGTATGTGTATTGGATGTTTTTTTATTTATGCATGAGAACTTAAAATGATAAAACAAGACAAAAATATTATTGGAATAAAATTTATTTATTATAATCTGAAGTGATAAACAATAATGCAGTCAAGGCGTAGAGTGGGGTTATGAAGAAACCTTGCAGATAATAGAGAGTAAAAGTGCTCAAGTTCACTGACTCAACTAGCCTCAACATAATAATAATAATCTGTTAGTTAATTTCATGGCATTTTTTTTTTTGAATATGATTTTCGGCTAAGAATATGCCCGCCGTGGCTAATCAGTCCAATTTTTGTTTTTTTTTTGCAATAAATGTGGATGTATAGCGTCAATGGTGGCATGAACATTAGTTTCCAATGCTTCAAGTGTTGCTGGTTTGTCGTTTGTCGGTATAAGCCAATGAGAAGATGTTAATCTTCTTCTTCTGTCATCCTTATCCCTCTGTGAAGCATAGGGCCTCAATGATTTTATATAGCTCCATAAAAAGTAATCAAGAGGCGTTAAATCGCACGAACGAGAGGCCCAACTTTTCGAAATAAAGTAATCAAATTTATTTTGCAATAAATCGATTGTTAATCACGCTGTATAGCAAGTTGCGCCGTCTTGTTGGAACCTTATGTCGTCAATGCTTAATTAATTAATTAATTAAGTTTTGGAAAATGGTGACAAAAATTCAGTCATCATGGTTTGATAGCGCTCGCTATTCGCCGTAACGCTAGATTCTTCCTCGAAAGAAGTAAAGACCGCACCAAAATTTCAATTTAAATGGATGTAATGGTGATTCGTTAACGGCTTGAGCATTATCTCAATTTTGCTGCATATATGGCAATTTTGCTTATTGACGATATGAACTTCGCGAACAGATTTATTTTTTTAAAAGTAAATTTCCACTATTGGGAAGTGTTGTTCTACCATTAAAAAATTCATGATGGATTGCCAAATCTTACTGAATAGAAATGTCAACGCCGTTTGACATTCTTAGCTTTCAAACCATAGTTATCGATATCAACAGTTCTCATGCAGCTAAAAAAACATCCATTATATTGTACATATAATATGACTCTAGAATAACGTAATAATAGAGTAATTAATACTAATTTAACATTAGTGTTATTAATTATGGTATAATTTGGTTGTTACTATATATTCTTCCATAGCTACAGTTGAGCATTAATATAAGTAAACATAGTGGATATCGTATGGAGATATGGTAGATTAAATAACCTGCCTTACTAGTCATGGAATGATATTGACATTTTAATAATGCAAGGCTACTTTTATAGTTAATACGTATTCCATTAAATGACCAACTCGTCGGAAATTGATCGGAAATTGAGCCCCTTTGAATCAGTTAGTGTCTGGCTTCAAATTGAACCCACATAAAAGGCTTAAATAAGCTGAGTCTTCTTGTGACTGACTGACATTTGTGTTCATCATTTAGGATTTATCTCTGTGAATTGTATTAGAGTTATTATTATTTTTTAGGAATGTGGCACTGCGACTATAGGATTTATTGTGCCACCTTATGTGTTTATTGTAGGTTTCTAAGCCCTGTTGCGTCAATACAAAGTAGTATAGAACTTATTTTACAAAGTTTTATTGCCTCTTTGCATTCTAATACCAGATGTGTGGTTGACTCTTCCTTCTCTTCGCAGAAAGGAGGGTACTATGTCTTAATTCACAGAAAGATTTCAAACCCATTATCGGTGTGGCTGTTTGCTACCTGACTACTTTGTCTCCATATTCGTTTCCGCGTATGCCAGTATGTCCCGGTACCCAGAGAATCTATAATGTTTATTTAGTTGTTTCTATTTTGAGTTAAGCCTTTCAATTTTGTTTAATCCATTAATTCTTTAATCATTTAATTTATTTAATTCAAATAAAATGAAATAAATAAATAATTGTGGAAAAATTTATGGAGTCGAAAGCGTTTTATTTTTTGCAGAATTTATGCAAAATAAAATTAGCAAAGTTAGCTTTGTTAATTTTTGTTGAAAACCATAAAAAACTGAATAAAAAATTTTATACTTTTCGTGAACATATTTTTTTAAAACAAATTTTAAACAATAATGAAATAAAATTCAATAAACATTAAAAGTCAGAATGCGCTTAAAACTTTACTGGAAAGGAAAGGGTTGGGAAGGATGAAACAGGAAGTGGCAAACTATGCAGCGTTGCAGTGAAATTATTTAAGGATGTTGGGTTGCAGTTTTACTTTAATATCCGAAAAGTTTTTGTTTATTTTTATTATTATGTTTCAGAAATAATCTATTTTTCTATCGAGTTTGAAACATTTTATATACCCTATGCGCCATATAATAACTTCTCAAAAATATGAATTATGGCGAGAAAGTAGTTATTATGTTATATAGAGAAAGTTTTCTGTGAAAATATTTAAAAACTTAGATGATTACTGACCTTTCTCTGAAAGTCTTATTAGACAAAAAACAACTGCAAAAGCAGGGAAAGACTGGCAGATAATACAAATCTTTTGAATATCGAGCTAAGTTTAGTCAAAAATATGGTATAGAAGAGCAAAAACCCATCTTAGTTTAATAAGGTGTATTTTCAATCTGCTTTTGTCTGTCACAACACTTCCGTAATTTGACGGATTGGATTGAGTGCCTTTAGTAGAAGTGTTTGTAGATCGTGAAAGAAACGAAGAAACGAAAGTATACTAGAATGTATTTGTGTTTTATTTGGTACGCTCCAATGTAAGCCCAGTATTCGTTATACTGCGTCCATTATTGAACTACTGTATCCCATCTAAGAATGCTGTATAATTCTTTTTAGACAAAAAGTTAACTACTTACGAGAATTCTATTTTCAGGAATTAACTACACTAGTCGCCGGTCCTGGTAAAAGTAAAATACTATTTAGCTATAACACCACTCTTTTTAAGAAAAACCCCGCGGAAAAAATATTTAACACTGATCTAACAAATGCATAATATTTAACATAGAGGATTGGGCCTAACTATGATCCAAACTGCTGATATTCTGCGTAAATAAATTATCATCAAATTAATATGTTGTTGGCCTCTATAAAATCTAATAAATCATTATGAGTTCAATTTAAGAGACATCCATTCTACTTTATTTACGAAGTGTGTGACCTATTGATTGCAAATTTCTTCGCCTGTTCTTGATTTTCACAAATTCGAGTGTAAGATCAATTAAGTAGTAGGAACCACAGTTATTATTATTTCTCTGATTCGTATGACCAGCATAGACCAAAAATAAAAATCATTCCTTTTGTTATGCCAAATTTCTTTTTACGAACCATGTAGTGTGTACTTCACAAGGACAAGAGAACTTTTGTAAATAAGTAATGTAACGTGAGAGTTGTCGAGTCTGCGAGAGGTCTGGTCGTTTGAGGGTTTAATGCAAGGGCCTCCATTGACGTTTGAGTACTATTTTTCAATTTCTTCTGTTAGTTCCTTATGTTATGAATTATGAAGATATTTTAGAATGATTTTCTGACACTTGTTCGACTTTTATCACACAATCCATTATGGTTAGTCATCTTATCTCTTACATACTTGTTAGATCATGAGAAAGTAAGAGCAGATATTTTTAGACGAGAGACTAAATGGGGTCGATAATTAAAAAAAATTAATTCAGGAGAGATGTC